ACCTCTTTCGGAAAATTGACACCATCCAGTGGCGAGAGCTCTAGCTGTTGCGTCAGGTTGGCTCACCAGCTTGCTCGAATGGATTACATATTCAAAGCTCTGAAGGCAGTTTTAAAAATGTGTGCCGGAAACCTTCTATACATACTGACCTACCCCGTCGGCTGATACTTCACCATATCTTTGAGACTGCACCTGTCTCCCTTCATGTTCTTTTCTGCACATATCCTTTCTCTCCAATCTCAGATATGGGATCATGCATTCATGCATTCATTTATGCCCTCTTAGTGTGCGACAAACATGCTCTAGCGTTGTGTTTCCTGGAGTACACATGCTTAAAAGCTGAAAGCGTGCGTCGTGCAAACTACCGGCAGGCGCGGGCTATACAAAAATTTGTTTTTCTAGATAGTTGAATACGACGGGATGTGATGAATTTGCTGAATGATGGAGTATATGGACCACGATTTATGTTTGGCACAAACTTCTTCGCGAGCTAATAATGCAGGCATTTGCAAAGGTGTGCTTTGAGCGTAAAATTTTCGGTGGACATCCACCTGGTTAAGGATGGCAGGGAGTAAAGCAAAACTCTAATCAAAGAATAACACGAAGCCTGACATTGCAAGGCCAGTTCGGCCCCTTGTTCACGGGTGACTGTTTTCGTTCTTGTCGTCGTCCTGCAAATTGCCCGGTGTTGTTCCTGTGTGGTCAAAACCTGCTGCGTCGCATAAGCCACCGTGTGCGGCGTGAAGAAAACCGAGAAACAGCTGGTGGCAGCGTATCAACGTCTTTATTCGGTTGTGTTCTGCAATATATAGTTTTCTGAGCGGGAGGAGGATAGGGTGAGGGAAAGGGAGAGGAGGAACGACGGGGTACCGACTATCTCTGGTTTCGGCGAACGGAAGAAACGAAGCCAGCATTCGCGGGAGTGACAATGCAGAAATAAAAAGCTAGTGACAATACAACAAAACCAGTGAAATCAACAACCTTCACCACCACTTAAACTCCATCGCACCGGCGATACAATTTACAATTGAGCTGGAGTCTGACGGTTCTCTTCCATTCTTGGACGTACTCGAGAAGAGAAATTCGAACCGTTTGACATTCGAAGTTTACAGAAAACCGACACACACCTGTCGATACCTGAACTTCTCGTCCTACCACCCTGCAACGCACAAATCTGTGGCTTCTGCACTCTTCAGGCGAGCAATTACTGTCTGCTCGATTGAAGAGGCTCTTAAGAAAGCGGTCACAACGATCAAACACAACCTGAAACAAAACGGGTATCCTGCCAGATTTTTGAACAACACATACAAAAAACCTAGACACAGTGAAACAGAAGACGCCCCTCCTCTACCCAACCGCATATGCGTCCCGTACATCAAGGGCCCAAGTGAGACTCGCGTGCGCGTTTTACGGAAATACAGCGTCGGTGTGGCACATAAACCGGTGTCCACCATTGGACGCCTCTTCTCGCTTCCAAAGGATCGTCGCTCTAAAGAAAAGGCTCAGAGACTCGTCTACAGGATCCCCTGTGGTGACTGTGCCGCCTCCTACGTTGGGCAAACTAAAAACTTCTCGGAACGTCTACGCCAGCATCAGGATGACGTCAAAAAGAATGACGTGCAGAGTAGCGCGCTGGCAAAACACGTCCAGAAAGGGTCACACAATCGGATTCCACAACTGCTCTATTCTTGGCACGGAAAGAAACTGGCAAAGACGCCTTTTATTAGAGTCCTGGTACATTCAGAACACCGAAAATAATGTCAACCGATCAGCTGGAACACTTCCGAGCACCTACGTGTCCGGTTTGCGGTGCGTTACGAGAGGCGCTACGAACCATAAAACATGTGCAGAAACAACAGCCACTTTAAAGAAGCCAACAGCACCGGGTAATTTGCAAGACGACAAGAACAGAAACGGTCGCCCGTGAACAAGAGGCCGAACTGGCCTTTAAACGTCGAGCTCCGTATTATTTTTTGGCTAGAGTTTTCCTTTCATTCAAGGTGTGCTCTGTACAATAATTGCTTACATGCTGATATGCACCAGGTGTGGGCTATACATTGGGTGCAGTCTATAGTTTGGATAATATGGCAGTATGTGCATTATGGCTTACAAATGCTGTAGGCTTCTGGTCTGCTTTACCAGACCATTGCTCAGACTGGGACTGATTGCTTGGCTCTGAACCTTTCTCTCCAGGCTTGTATATGGTATCTGACTTGTCTCCCTCCTGCAGGTAGCAGGTGGTTGCAAGGAAGGGCCCGCAACTCCGAAGGCGGACAAAGTGATCGGCAGGCTCACGAATGCAGACGTCGACAACGTACGAAAAGCAAAGCCAGTCCGACGGAAAGCTAGACTCGCGGATCAACAGCGCGCCACAAGGGACGAAGAAGAGGATGGCACGTCGAGCCACCCTGTCACCGAAGTTCCGTGCGACCAGCCACAAAACCAGCTTCTGTCACGGTCCAAGACCTCCACTCCGCTGGGAACACCAAGGCCGCCGTCTGCCTCGGCCGACGGACAGCAGCAGACGACTCCGCTCCCCAGTTCGTCCGGTCCTGGGAAGGTAATGTCCTGGAGCGGCACAGTTTGTTCTAGACAATCTGCTCTCAGATCACTGTACTGTTGAGCGGCAGCCATTGGACCAACTTGTGCCCCCCTTTCATGTGTCTTACGGTGAGACAGTCAAAAGCTACAAACTTTGTCAGAAGTAATGAACACTCTTTGGATGTAGGTGGGAGGTGTGGATTTAGTTGTGGATCTATGCACGACTCATTTTTGACTCTATGCACGTAGGCGCCTTCCCCGCTCCCAGCCTCCCTGGCGCCACCCGCGATCACGAAGGTGGAGCCGGGGCTGGCGTCGGCCGCTCAGGGCGGTGCCACGCCCCCGCTCAAGGGCCTGGTGGACGAGTTGGTGCAGCTGTGCCACGAGGAGGACCTGATCCGGCTGCAGACGGCCGCGGTCGAGCAAAACATCGCCAGCGTCACCCTCGTCCTCGAGGAACTCAAGAAGAAGAGGGTCGAGGTGAGGAAAAGGGCCGTGTCGTGCGGAGCACCGGCTAGGAGGCGCAAGCCGATGCCCGAATCGGAGGGTGTAGCTGTTGGGGTGGGCGCTTCCAACTGCTCCGTTAGGGGCTGCGTGGTCTGTGGGCTGCGTTTCTGACGCAAGCTGCAAGGAGTTGACGAAAGCATAGATTGTCTGCAGGCGGGCCTCTCCATTTGCTCTCCTCCTTGCAGCTTGACGGCACAACGCGGACGTGCTTACAACCAATCCGCACGAGAGGTGTCCGCCTTTAATTCGCAAAATGTTGTTCATGGTTTGAGTTGCTCTCCCCTTTTGAGTCTAGGCTCTCTAAGAAGTATGTGTGCACGTGTATGTATATGTGTGGTGCTTGCTCTTTGCAACAAACATCTCCTCCCCCCCCAAAAAAAAAGAAAAGAAAACAAGAAAAAACAAACTATTGTTATTTTTGAGTTTCACGGGTGGATCGTCCACCAAGCCTCGAGCCTCCGCTTCGTGCATGCCACAAATTTGGTCTCTTCTGTAAATTGAAGAGCTTGCTCGATGCACGTGCCGACGCCTGCTGCAGGTTCCAGTGCTGGACACTCGAGAAGCAAATGTTGTAAAGTTTCGTCCACATCACATGCACTGTGCAGCGAGTACGTTACGTTGGAGGAGGAGATCCACCCATTGCTCCCTCCTGTGGCTAAGTTAGGAACTAAACCCACAGGGTCAACAATACCTCCATTTAGTATATGTTTCTATCACTCTGCTGACGTAGCCAAATTTGGTGTCGGTGTTCAGGCTGAGGTTCGTGATTGGCCGCTGAAGCACCGATTGGACACGAGTCCTGGTTGAACACTGATGCAGCAGTCGTGCCTCATCTGCCCTTGTGCCGGGTAAACACCGAGTTCTGTGAAAAACGGGACGGACAAGGGCCTCTTTATTTTGATCTTTTCAATATCTATCCGTCCACCCGTTTTCCCCCTCCATTTCCCCCCAACGATGAACCGCAGCAGATGCAATACCAGAGCATGTCGGCCATTCTGGCAACTAGAGAGTGTCACATGACCTCGTGCGTCCCAGCGCTCGGCCAGAGTGTTGTGCGTCTTGCTCTCAGCGCTGGACTGGCTGTGATGGCCTTCTGGCATCCATTCTGGTTCATCCAAGGGTGAAATAGAGTACTATAGGTGGCACCAAAATCGGCAAATGTTACAAGAGCCTTTTTGTGTACTTTGTTCACCCCTAAGCTGCGGCGGAAGCTACATCCAGCCGTATGCCTCTCTTTCACCAAGTCATCAGCCACACCCCTGCGCAGAGAGCCAGGTGAGGTGATAGGTTCAGCGGACACGTAGCTTCCTCTGCAGTGTCAGCTTAGGGTTGAACGGAGTACGGTATCTGCTTGACTGGAACATTCAAGCCAACCAAGCCTTCTGGTTGGTCTGCCATGTTGGTGCTGGAAAAAGCTTCGAACAATGGGTGGATCTTGGCCTGTCTGAAGGTAAGAGGTGTTCTCGATAGGTGCATTGGTTTTACAGCGAAGCTGTTATGCGCTAGGATCTGGGAAAAAATGCTTCCGCGGATGTTGACTGAAAACTCCCCATTGGTTGTCGCAAGTATGAATAAATAAAAATAAAAAGGGGGCAACCAGCATGAGTCAGCCTTCCTTGGCATTATTAGATGGTGAGGTCCTGATCCCTTGTTATCATCTCTAGGCATTGCCCTCGAGGTCGTCCTTGAGGTGATTCTAACGTCGTCCTAGAAGTCATCCTAGACATTGTTTTCTAGGCGGCGTCTTTGAAGTCGTCCTTGAAGTCGTCCCTGAGGTGGTCCTTGAGGTCGTCCTAGACGTCGTCCTCGATGTTGTTCTCTAGGCGTCGTCCTAGAAGTCGTCCTTGAGGTCGTCCTAGAAGTCGTCATTGAGGTGGTCCTAGAAGTCATCCTTGAGGTTGTCCTAGACGTCGTCCTCAAGGTCGTCCTAGACGTCGTCCTTGAGGTCGTCCTCAATGTTGTTCTCTAGGCGTCGTCCTAGAAGTCGTCCTTGAGGTTGTCCTAGAAGTCATCCTTGAGGTCGTCCTAGACGTCGTCCTCAAGGTCGTCCTAGACGTTGTCCTCGAGGTCGTCCTAGAAGTCATCTTTGAGGTCGTCCTAGACGTCGTCCTCAAGGTCGTCCTTGAGGTCGTCCTAGACGTCGTCCTCGAGGTCGTCCTAGAAGTCGTCTTTGAGGTCATCCTAGACGTCGTCCTCTAGGCATCGTCCGAGACATCATAAAGATAAGAGCTTCGCTGGTCCTTTATCTTCACGTGAAGTGGAAGGGCTCACAATTTGTTTTTGCTAAGGCTTTATATAAAGTATCCCTTAATCTAATCCGCTTCGCTGGAACAAACGAGCAAACGTCGGCCTGCGTGCCCGTTCGTGGTTTGCTCGGTTCAAACGCTAAGAGCCACCACATTGTAGCAATTTATTTAAGCGAAATGCCGGAGTTTTTTTCTGTAGCATTTTATGTACAATGGCATTTTTATTCTTCTCTTCTACAGTTGCTCTCCAGAGAAAGTCAGGTCAGGAAAGCGAGACTGGAGAGGTTGGAGTGCCTCCAAGGTGTGTGCTCAATTTATTGTTGCATAAAGCAGATCTTCAAAAAGCAAGTCTACAAAAACTACGGATAACCTGGGGCTGAAGAAAGGGAACAGTCGGGGAAATTTCCTGGGGATAATGGTTTGTGAAGCATGCAGAGCTGCCGAAGTCCCTAGAATTCTGCCGTTTCGTGTTTTCTTTGACGGGTTTGTGGAGGGCCCTGTTCCTCAAGTTTGTTAAGCTTTTCATTAGATGTTCCACCAGCGGTGTCGAGCAGGTACGAAAATCAAGGTACTCGTGGCTGCTGCTTTTCACCAACCTAAACACTCGCACCTTTTATCCTTGTTTTATTGTTGTCTGTATCTTACCGTTAGCAACGTCTGTAAATTTCTGTGCTGTTTGATTGCAAGAAGAGAAAGAAGGGAGGCTCACCTGCTTTCTCTCAGCCTGTCATGGGGGCTTTTCTGGAGAACCAAACGCTTTGAGAACCCATGGATTACAAAACGTTGACTGGAGATCGTGTAACCCCTTCAACCACTCCAGGGGTGGCATCCCTGCACGGCGGACAGCCGCTGCCGTTCACGGACCACGCCCAAGCCTTCCCCATCAAAACGGAGATCCTGGCGTCCTTTGGCGGCTCGTCGGACCGTTTCAGCTTCCTCGTGACGCCCTCCGCGTCTGCAGCGCCAACGGTCTCCTCCACCCAGGCAAGTCCTCGGTGCAGAGCTCGTGGTGACGAACCACAGTGACCTCTCCTAAAGCGATAATTCAGGAACACGAAGTAAGCGTGCAAACGAACGAGCCGTAAATTGAACATAATAGCGAAGAACCCCGAGATGCAGGCAAGAAAAGAACGCCAGAAACACAAAGTCCCAAACGCAACTAAAATTAGTTGGACAAAAAATTGCATAAAGTTTTTTCAATAAAAAAACAAAAAAGAAAAAACAGTAGACTACAGCTACCCTCTTTCCTTGCATAAGTTTGTTTGTTTGGTTAAGTTGGTGCATCCTTGAGTTACCGTATTTACACGATTGTAAGTCGACCCCCCCCCCCCCCCCTCCCACATTGCACGCCATCAAAAAAGAATAGATTTTTAGAGGTGCCTTTTACAGTGAATTTGTGGGAATGGCAGGGTATCTCTTCCGAAAGCCCAGCCTCGAGCACGCGATCGATGCCTTCTGGCATACTTTGGCTGCGTATACACGCGCAAGGTGCAGGAGATGCCCAGGCGTTACCGAAACTAGGAAGCTCACGCTGGAGGCGGGACAACTGAAGCAGCTCCATGTCGTTCTCGCTCGGACCGCGACTACAGACTAGGATTCGTCCACACTGGTAATGTCAGTCCCGTCGTCATCTATGCTACGTTCTCAAAGCATGTCGGCCTCGGCGTCCAACAAAATCTCGCACTCCGCAAATGACAGCATCAACCGCATCTTCCGCTCTTGCTTGGAGATTGCGTTGTGCATCACAGGTAGGGACCGATTGCACACTTTTGCGGCGTACATTGCAAAGCAAGGCACAAAGCAGAAGCACCAAAACACAAACACCAGAACACTCTGGAGCAAAAACAAAAAAGATTGAGGTACACCTAAGCACTTGGAATGAGTTGTGAGCATGCAAGCCGCTCGTCCGCTCCCTTTGTCGTCTGCTGCATACTTTCTGTCGCTGGTTGGTGCGTGTTCTTCCCTGGTGACCTTGGACGCTCTGCGCTGATGGACACGCAGCGCCATGGGGTGCGCGGTTGAGAAAGGGAGAAAAGCGAAAGTTGTTTTGTGCTGGGTGAAGGTGGAAACGAGAAGGTAGAAATGCGAAAGGGTTCAAATGAGAACCACCCTGTTGTACGGGACGGCATTCCTGGAATAATGCAGTGTTTCTATGGAACAGCATTACAAGGAACGGCGTTCCTTTTAGGAGGAGCGAAGGAACGCTGCCATTTCATTTTGCATCGGTGGAACTGAAACGGGAACTGGTTACATTTTTACTGGAACGGAGAAAGGAATGGCGTTCCTTTTTTCGTTCAGTGGGGTATTTTTTATTTTATTTCCAAAAGGGAAATTCTAAAAGTATCCAAACAATATCTTTATGAAGAGCAGGATCTCGTTAACTTTTTGGTTACTTATCTTAAGGTTCATTTTTTGTGGTTCTCGCTTCCGGAGCGCTAGTGGACATCGATTGTTTTTTCGGTGCCAGAGATCGCTGCGGTACAGAAAGCAAAACGTTTAGTCGATGGAAAAGACACAGAAAGAGGGGCAACTCAAACTCGGCTACTTTCTTTGATTTCACGAATCCTCATGCACCCTAAAATCCAAGGCCGACTGCAGCCGTCCCTGAACTTCTACAAAGAGACCTACATTTACAACAAAAGAACAGACATTGAGCGCGCCCTTGTATCCCGAACATTGCTCACTCAAAAGATACGCAGAAATTAACCTGTATCACTTTTCAACTTGTCCCCTGCCTTCAAACTGAACAACGAATCCAACCTTCACAAAGAAGGACTTGTAGTTTTCAAGACTGACCTTCCAGAAGCCCTATCCTCTTCACTTGCTCGTCTTGTGTACAGAGAGATCGAGAAGCAATGGTTGTCAAGTTCAAACAAGGGAGTTCGTTAGGTTGAAACGTGCGAGGTTGTTGTGAAACGTTCGTGCAATGTGGAGTAACAGTACATTTGGATCGTCTGAATCGCTTACCAGAAACGTGAATATGGTCAAAAGCTGCGATATTTAAAGGTGACTATAACTCCAAGTGAAGCCCTGCTTTCGCTTGTTTTCTTCTCCTGGTGCCCTTCCATCACAGTATTCAAATTCGTGTGTTGCCATTTGATGGGATAGATAAAAAAACAGAAGAAAACTTTGCTCGATCTAACTAAATATGGTAATCAGCAAAATACAAATGTAACGTATATGTAACGATACGTTCCATTTTTTTAACTGTAACGGGAATGAGTTCCTTTTTGGCGTATGGAACTTGTAACGGGAACGCTGTCCAAAAATCAGAAGGAACGAGGAACGAGCTTTTGTTCCTCTTTTTGAGGAACTTGTACAACACTGGTTGTGTTCCGGGCACCCTGGTTAAAACGTAGCTTAAAGGGCAACCCCGGTCCATACTTTCGATTTTGGGATTATGACTGTTTTTAGTGCAGTCAGCGTCCCTGAATTGCAAGCTGTTATTTTTTTCTCGTTATTGTGCGTAGTTTTAAAGATATGACGCCTCAAAGTTTTGTTTGGGGCGCGGCCAACAAAACCGAAACTATCCGCTCGAGGCCCCGGCAACACTGGAAATCAGCCGCAATGTGAGCGTGATGTCAGGATCGTTCTCGTTCAACGAGTACGCAGGCCGAGCGGTACCTACCTCTGTTGCGCTAGCCGTCTAAAGATAGGAGGTAAGCTTATTTTATATTAATTCTGTATACGTGGTAGTTATCCAGCATATGTAGCAGGAGTTAGTGCGTGTACCCAAAAGCTAGCGACTGGAAAACCCGTGAGCTCGTTCGGCGCCGTACTCGGCGGCCGCCACCGTGCATGCGCTATGCCGTAGATAGAGACTGGAAAACGAGTGAACTCGTTCGGTGCCGTACTCGGCGGCTGTCGCCGTGCGTACGGTCTTCCGCGCTCGTCGCTAGGCCTAAATTGTCATCGGGGCTCCGTGGGTGGAGTGGCGATGCTCTACGCCGCGCTGCCAGTGACGTACAGTTCTGGGGGCCCTCTTGCCTTCGCGCTGTGGGTCAGTCCCAGACACGAAGCTTTGAGGCTGTTCGGCGTGGGCCCGCCTCAAACACGCCAATCACAAGCCGAAGTAGCGGTGGTATCGCCTCAAAGAAGCGCATTCCGCGCAACGCCCGGACCGGAGGAATAAAAGAGAATGATACTGACGTCACGGCCCAATGTTGCTTTAGCGATCGGCAACCCGCTGGCAACCCGCTAAGGAGCGGCGGGTCGCATTTTTATTATCGGCATTAGTTGAGAATGCGGCGTCCCCCGGACGTAATATTTTGGCTGGGGTGGTATTTTGTGTCACTACTGCGATACCAGTAATTTATTTCATATTGAGTTTTGGCCGGAGTTGCCCTTTAATGTTTTTACGTTGAACTGCGAGTTAAAGGGGCGGTGCAATGATTTTAACACTGAACTAATGTGCAGCTTGTATTTTTTATATTGTTTACTTCGGCATAAGTAAGAGAGAAAGTGCCACCATACCCCAAAATACCTCTATTTCGCCGCGTAATCGCAAAATAAAAAACACTTTTTTCCCCAACCTGCGGCCACATGGTGGCCGCAAATGGAACCTGTGGTGTGATGTCATTCGGAGTGGTTTTTGTAAGTGATAGTGTTAGGCAATTGTAAGCTTGATTTAAGGTTAAGTTTAAAAAATCTTGTTGTTCAGGCATGCAGAAAGGCTTCAAAAGCCTAATATTGGCTCTAAAAGATTTGTGGCGCCATCTACCGCAAGTCAACCAAACCTGCCGTCGCCGTCATCCGTCGACGCCCGAGGCGCCTACGGCGGCTACACGAGCAACCCGGACGTTTTGTCTTTTCCTCGCTCGACGGAGTGCGTTAGGCGTGGTCCGTAGTATGGTGGTATCGTTATTATTCCTGGTGTCTCGACCTTGACTTCGACTGCCCGCCGCACAATCCAACCGACTTACTATACGCAAGCATCTTGCGCTCGACGTCGCTCAGGCCGTCCGCCCATGCCGCCATGTTGGCCGGGAATCGACGGGAGAGCGGGAGAGCAGCGAGCCTGGCGAGCCGGTGAGCGCTGGGGAAATGGAAGCCAGAAGAACCCAACCGGAAACCAACGCCACTCCGAATGACGTCACAGGCGAAGCCGGTGCCGCTTCAATGTTGAGGGGTGCCAGAGATACCAATTTCTTTTATTTTTTTGTAATGAAAACTAGGGCAAGCAGGAAAGAATAGTTTTCGGTCCTTCGTTTTATATCTGGCCGGGATCGATTCCCGCAATTAATTAGCCAAAGTCCGCAAATTGTTGCACCGCCCCTTTAAGGAAGTCCTGAAATTAAATCGGGCCTGAAGGCTGCACACTTTACAAGGGCAAACTTTTGAATTTTTTGAGCAAGCCCTTAGTTGTGTACCTTAACTGCGTACAAGACTAGCGATTCCTGGACGAGTTGCCATTTTTAAAAATTTTTCTGTCCCACGTGTGTGTGCCACTGCACCGAAACCACGTGGTACTGGGTCACCGAAATGACAAATCGATTATTCTACTGACGGTCGAAGGTTAGCACGAGTGCAAAACGTGATATTTCGCGCAGGCGACTCGAACGTTGCGATCACGTTTGCATTATTTCTCTTTATGCACCGGGATAGGATCCATTCTTTTTCTGTTTTATGGTGAATTCCACTCGTAGATCTGGAGCGCTTTCCAAAATCCGCGAGGGAGGCAAAATTCCGCTCCGTGGGACCCGCTCCGAATCGACAAGGGGAAGATAAACTTGCATTTTTGGAGCGACCTCCCCCACACCCCTGCCCACCCCTCCCCCTCCGCCGTACAAAATGGCCGCTGCTCGAACTTGACCAGCCCACCAATGCCTCAGCCGGCTGATCTTTCCGACGACCAGTGACGACTGTCACTGCTTAGCTGTAACGCGCGACACAGGCCGGGCGAAATTATACGTACCACAGCGCCCATGTCACAAATAACGAGAAAGACGTCCGCGGTCGGCGACCTCACATACCTTTCGGCCGCCTCAAAGCGGCGGGGCACGGACAGCGATTGCCAGCGGTGGAGTTCAGATTTCTAGTACGACTTTGATAAACACGGAGGTAACAAACCATCACTTGCGCGGTCGTTGCCTAACCACTTCTTGCTTTATTTCACAAGAAAACGCCGACGGAATGCAGTGTAAAAAGGTAAACAATCACTGGCTGCAGAATGAATAGGCCTAACCTTGCGTCTGCCTCCGGCTTTTCTGTCGTTCTTTTTCTCATTCTTCCTCTCATGATCACAGATGTCAGCGCTTATGATTTCCCACGCTCCACATTCCCGGCTTTTTATCCCTGATCTACGAGAGGTAGAAGCGTTCGAGCCGTCACAATCCAGAGTAAACAACCGACGCACCCGAACAGATCCAACTCCACGACCGTGGCCCGACCTGCCCTACCGGCCCGCCGATCTCTCCAACCTCGCCGCGCATGCGCACCGCCGATTTAGACGGAAATCACGTGGGCCGCTCTGTCAACTTCCGGAGAGATCTGTGAAATCCCGCAGAGCAAGTTCGACGGTGTTTGGGGCGCTCCGTGGAGCGGGCGCTGCCAGAGATCTACGAGCGGAAGATGACCAACTTGAGCCAGATCTGCGAGCGGAATATGGAGCGCTTTTGGAGCGCTCGAGATCTGCGAGCGGAATTCACCATTAGTCAACTTCTAGAGCAAGGTAGCCTTTGTTCGGATTGAGAACTTGGTCCGTATTGTCCGAGATAGTGCCGAGTTTGCAGTTCACCATGCGCGCAGTCTTTCTTTGGAACGGAACCTTTGCCTTTAGGAGCCACGCCATAAACGTGCGGTATATCGTACATCCATCGGGTCTCCTCCCCGAGGATATGCGGGAAAATTTCAGATTTTTTTTCATCATGCAAATCTCGTCTTCATTTCGTTACAGGATTTCGAAAAACACCTCATGGACCACGCCTACACGTGACGAGACCAGTCACGACGTGCGCAGCTCAAAGGGGCTACGTCCATTCAGACACGCTCGTATCATCTAACGAGTCAGTGTCGGTCGGTTTAGCCATGCTCAGAACATTGGAAGAGTCAACAAAGCTTTGGGACTTTGCAGTGCTGCGGGAGCCCATTGTCGCTCAATTTTGACGCGTAAAGCTTTAGTCATTGTTCAGACCTTTTGCGTGGCATTTCATTTCTTTTTTCGCCGTCTAGGACAACAAATTTTCTTCTTCATGTTTACTATGAATT